GACTGTGTGTGTGTGTGTGTGTGTGTGTGTGTGTGTGTGTGTGTGTGTGTGTGTGTGTGTGTTTGAGTTTATCTTCATCCCCGGAGCTAACCACAAGATGACTTTGGAATAGATAAGTGCACGTTACTAAATAAGTTAACCTGGACCTTATTTTTTTAATTTTATGTCACGTTCTTTGTTGCCGCTGATAGCTTTGTTTGTATTTTAATGGCCTTCAGTTCGGATGACCCAGGTTTGAATTTTTCCCAGCTAAGTGTTCTTGAGCTTGAGTCTATCTGGGAGTTTTCAAGGCTCTCTGCCCCTCTGACTCAGTCTTACGTCGAAATGGACGTTGAAATCGATAGTCTCGATAGTCCTATTTCTGCAATTAGCTAACAGTGTTTATGGGAGGGTGATAAGAGGACGCCTCTGTTAAGTTCTTCTTTGTTTCTTTTTCTTTGTTATATCTGTTTCTGTAAGCGGTATTCTTCTCACGATCTAAACCATCATTATTGTGTCGATTTACTTCTTTTTACTTTTTTTAAAAACACTCCAAAAAAAACCCACGGTGACATAATGTTTCTCATGGTATAAAACCTCCGCTTGCCCATACATTCCCCTACTCATACCCCCTCCCCTTTTGCCCCAGACAATATTGATTTTCTCTACTCCTCATTCTACATTAATGTTGTGTCTGAACGCAGCGGAACCAAGCGCTCGTCACCTTTTGGGCATGATATGCAGATTAGTCATTAGTATAATCTCGAAACACGTTTAATTATCTTGTTTTCGATGAAAAAGAAATACCCATCTAACTTGAATAAAAAGTCGAGACAATCGCAGTCGAGGGAGGCAGAGTTTGCCTGTTGTCAGAGATAAATTTAGCAAGAACATTGTCTCAAAATTTGTTGACTTCAAAAGATTGAAAAAATTTTGGAAATGGAAAATTTACTCTTTTTGTGCCCCTGATCTTTTCAGTCAATTCCACACATGAATGTGGGTTTTTTTTAAGGGAATAAAAGGTGTTGACCCCCTCTCCCCCCTTTTTTCTTAAATCCCCATTAAAAGAAAAACAAGACAGAAATGCCAGTTTCTTGTATGTCATTATTTTCTCCACAATGCCACTCATTTTTGTCTTCAGCGATATATTCCCCCTATATACATCAGAGCTCTTTCTACAGACAATAGGTTTCCCCTAAGTAAATCGTATGTCCCTCGGTTTTTAGACCAGAGGTGCTAAACCTAATCACACAGAGGGAGGTGGGGGGGGGGGGACTTAATCATTAATCATTCTTGAGCAGGGGAAAACTACTGATTATTTTTTAACCAATGTCGGGAAACAAACAAAAGCTAAAATAAGAATAAATCAAAGCATACCAGTCTGGTTCTTATGTCTTGGCAGCAAGTCTGTTTATGTTTGAAGTCAGGGTTTGTGTTATGGAGAATATGAGGACGGAATGTCTCAAAATTCTCTTGACGGCCTGTCATAATTGTTCACTGGGCCAGAAGCGACCCGTGGGCCTTTAGTAAGAAGACACCTGTGTTATAGCCAATAGCTTTATCCTGCTCAGACGATCTCCCCCTCTGTCTTCATTCGAAAGGTTTCCCCTTGACATACCAGATCCATCTCTCAGCCCTGTCTTTAAACAATAGATTTCCCCTACTCATTCTATATTTATGTCTATAGACATCAGATCCGCCCTTCTGAAACTGTCAGCAGACGTCATTTCTGTCGTTAAATTAAGGAGATAAATTATTAGAGAGAGATTTCCTTTTGGTCAGAACACAATGTAATGACTATATTATTATGCTACTGCTGTATTGTAAAGCGCTCAAAACTGTGTACTTTCATCGGGATTGAGAGCTATATAAATGCCGTATATTATTATTATCATCACTACTTCTCCAGACAATAATATTTTTCCTACGCATTCCCTGTTTTGCCCTTGGCGGATGCTATTTCTGTTTCTGTTGACAATAGATTTTCTCTGCTTATTCATTTAATTCTGCCCACATGATTCACTCTTTTGATACTCTCTTTATCTATCCAGACAATAGATTTTCTCTGTACATTCCATATTTCTGTCCGGAGTCATCGGATTCGTCCTTCTGATACCATCTCTGTTGATTCAAACAATAACCACCCCCACCCCCTTCCCGTGACCCATACAGTTGTCTTCCGTTGTCCACAGACGATAGACTGGTTCTGTTTCCTGCTGTTCAGCGGTCTGATTGTCCTCACAACTATCGGGACGCTGTCAGTGCTCGTGATCGGCGCAGCCATCAACAAACCCTCCATCTGATTCTGACCACAGAACTAGACGAAGGAACACACAGTGCGATCAATGGTTCCTCCATACAGACAGCAAAACACTATTATTTCTATGTACATTTGTTTTGATGACAGAAGGACAGCTGTACTAATTTGTTAAGGCTTTTGATATGATATTGTCAATAACACCAAGATATCCTATTGATTGTAAATGGTTGTATCTCTCTAAATCTCTTCTCTCCCTTGCTCTGCTTTGTCTGTCCAACTTCCCAAATAACACACTTTTCCCAGAATGGTCCCCGGAATAAAATTAATTAAGCTGCTTTTTCCTCTATGACTTGTTAACGTAATTATTAGATATTCACACACTCTCTCTCTCTCACACACACACACACACACACACACACACACACACACACACATACACACACACTCACACACACTCACATACACGTACAGATTCACACACAAACTCGCACACACACACACACACACACACACACACACACACACACACACACACACACACATACACGCACACTCTCATTCACAAACACATACACAAACACACTTCCAAGCCTTTTTTTTTTACCTGGAAAACAAGTCTCTGCTCTTGATGAGGTCACAATAAACGATGGTTGTTTTCTTTTTTGTTTCTTCCGAAATATTTTTATTTTGGATTTTAAAATCAAATGTAGTAAATACATGTACAAAACAATAATAATTCTGCTGTAGTGCTTCAAGGAATGACTCCATGGTTATGATTTATTATCGTCATCCAAATCAAGAGCAAATCACTGCAAATTAGATTCTAACAACAATTTTCAACTCACACACACTCACACACACACACACACACACACACACACACACACATACACACATACACACACACGCATATATATATATATATATATACACACACACACACACACACACACACACACACACACACACACACACACACACACACACACACACTTGGAATCGAACTTCCTACCACCAGATGTACAGCTCGTTTAAATGTTATGATATTTTCTTTCTTTCGTTCTTTTTTTTCAAAGTTCTTTTATTTTTGCCTGTGGAGAGGGGTAGTGGCAGCCTTTTTCCAAGTCTATCGTTCACCACCGTTGGGAAACTACAAAACTTAAGTCATTTTGTAAGTAACTAATGGTCGGCATTTTGTTCCTATGTACTAAACCAAGAAAACAATTTAATTTTTTTTCAGGAGAAAGAGACACATTTGAATCTATGTTATTTTTTTCTCCGGATTTTTTTTCAATGTTTATAATTGGAATTTCTCATGCAGTTGCAAGCGCCGTAAAACACCAAACGTTTTAGTTTTTTCTTGCTTTTTTTTCAACATTTAAATTTGAATTTCCCATGCAGTTGCGTTCGCCGTAAAACACTTACCAAAATAAACAAAGAAACAATAATTTCAATTGTGACAAAATATTTTTGAATGCATAATGTGACCGACATCACAGATTAAAGAACTGCAAAAAATCAAAGTTTTGGGCTTTGTGCATCAAAACAGCTGTTCGACGAAATGCTGTGCTCCTTGACTCACGTGTTTCTAACTGCATTCCCACGTTCACATAATATTGTCTACAGAACTCTTGTTGGATGGCACTTTCTCCTTGCTCAACAATACAAAACAATAATCTGCAGGGAACAGGGAAAAGGGGAGGGGGGCAATAATCAAGAACAAAAATTGTAGACCAGTCCCTTTTTTTCTCGAGGTCTTATATATGGATTACTGCTTTTCTTTCACTGTACCGGTACAGATATTTTCAGTGTCTCACCTGTGCATGACTTGGGTCCTTTTCGATAAATTAAATTTTTGCTTTTTTTTCTTTCGGGGGAACAACATGGAACATACTAAATAATTGATTAAGCAAGGTAGATAATGAAGAACGAAAACTGAAAATTATGACAACTGTCCTATTTCTCAGGTATTTTTTAGACGTTCGCATGCCGTGTCAAAAAAAATTATGTGTTTAGTGTATTATCGCTGTTCAGAATTACAATTATAACTCTTTTTTTACTGTACTTCAAAAGTGTTAAAAAGGGCTGCTCGGGTGTGTGGTAAAAGTAGATAATGGCAATATTGGAAGAGCAATATCGACAGCATTTACCTAAATATAACAGAGACCCATTTACTCGAAAGAACAGTATGGTCGTTGTTAAATTGCGTGTAAGAGTTCATCAAAATCGTAAGTGACCAACTATGCATAACTAGAAGCAAGGAAAGAGCTGTAAAACATGTAGATAATCGGTCTAAATGTCACACTTGAGTTGCCAGATATCACGATCCCAGACAACATGAGTGGAAAATAAACTTTAACACTCTGAATCTCTGTTAAACAAATTGCTGGCTATTAGCAACTCGGTATTTGATCATGAAAGTAAATAAGGCAACCACTGTTTAACAAGTATCGATCTTCCAGCAGAGACTGTTATGTTTGGGAACTCCTGGCCGAGAACAAACGGCATTGTGTCATGTTCGTGGGTCATTTGCGTCCGCTCCTTGTCACATTCGGGTTCCATCTTTTACCTAACACGGTCGTGTTTTTGAAGAGTTTGTAGGATTTCACGGAGATTTTTGGGTAAGCAGGTTTGGTTGCTCTTTGAGTTTTCGAAATATAAAAAAAAGAACAATAAAATAGGGTAAAATAAGATGAGATGAGATAAAAACAGGGTAAGATAAAATGAGATACCATGAACTTTATTTGCCCTTATTTAAAAGAAATGAAATAATCTTGCTGTTACCATCAACTGCTACACAAGATTTGCGTTCAAGTACATAAACAAATTATCCTAACAACACCGCGCATTCTCACTCTTTCCCTCTCTGTCTTTATCAGATAGTATATTGTGCCAGTCCGGTATCTTCAAATGAGGCGCATCAGACCTTTTTCGAATCTAGAACCTAGGTTTCTTGGTGAAAGTTGTCTTCTCGCCTTTGTCGCACTTATACTGTTCGTTCTTTAGCTTGTTCTTTCTGACTGTGTTAAGTTGGTTATTGTAAAAGGATCCTTTTTTTAGCTGTCTACGGAATAGATAGCTCAGGTTCGAACCCCAAATTGGGCATTCATGAAAACCAGTCGTTTTGTGGACTTTCAACGTTCTCAAACCAATTTAGCTCGATCCTATTGGAGATGGATGTTAAATTCGGAGGTCGCTCCCCTTAGTTAACCTAACAGTGTGCTAAACCCACACATTTACTTTTTTAATGAACTTTTACAATTTCTGGATTAACTCAGACTTCTCATCAACAGACATGATGAACGCAACCTTTAACAATGACGTCACTGGAGACTATCATTCTGTTCAAATGACGTCATGGATGCAAAACATCTCCAACTTCCCGGTCACAGAGATGCAGGGCCACACAGGCTACCGCAATGACCACGAGCACAACGTCCTTGACCCTCACGCCCGGCCTGACCCGATCTCCGACAGCGCTCGTGAGGTGTTCGAGCTGATTAACTACGTCATCATCTGCCCATGTATCACCCTCTTCGGCATCGTCGCCAATGTCATTAACATGGTCGTGTACGCAAAGATGGGCCTCACAGACCCAGTGAACATCACTCTATTCAGCCTGGCAATCTCCGATCTCTTGTCTTTGATCACCTTAGTCTGGCACGCCATTTGCTATAACCCTTTATTCAGATATTCAGATATCCCATTTGAATCGGTTGAAGTGGACTTCCTTACTGCTGGGTGGCCACATTTAATTTTTTCTCGAATAACCAGTTGCTTAACCGCATTTATCACTGTTGAGAGATGTCTTTGTGTGACGATACCTTTGAAGGTAAAACTTCTCCTTACAGCTAGACGAACCCGCATTCTTATTTTGGGCATGTACTTCGTACTCATAACCAGCTCTTGTCCGATTTACTACACCACAAGGCTGGACTGGAAATTCTATCCTAGTCGGAACCGAACCTTGCTTGGCCATGTGTTCATAGAAAACCGTGAAACAATAGAGCGAGTCTCTTTCGCTTTGAACAACGTGTTTATACCCATGGCGTCCTTCGCTACGGTCGCTATCTGCACGGGGATTCTAGTGCATAAACTCCGAGTTAAAAGTAAATGGCGAGAAAGCACAACGGCACCTGGAGTTGGCTCGTCCAAAAATACGTCATTGAGAGATCAGAGGATTGTCCAGATGGTCATCTTCCTCTCCGCCATATTCATCGTGTGTTTTCTGCCCACTACAGTAGCGTTTCTGGCCGCGGCAGCGATGCAGCCTGTGTATAAACTAGACGGTACTGGGGTAATGCATCTCAACTCTTTCATAGTCACGCTCACGTTCTCCTTTATTTTGGAGTCGATCAACTCTTCTGTTAATATCTTTGTCTATTTGAAGATGAGTTCGCGTTATAAGCAGGTTTTTAATCAGTTATTCAGAAAGGTTGGGGCTGAGCAAGGTAAATGTGCAACGATTACTAGTCAAAAAACTACTTGAAACAGTGAGTCTATAAATCATAAATGATTGAAAATACCTTTATTAAACCATATCAAGTGATAAAGCTATATTTTCTATTACATACCCTCACAAATCATTGAAGTTACATGAACTAAGCGCGATTCTCAGTAACAGGTTGATAATGTAAATACTGCTTCCAGAATGAGATACCCAAACTCAAAATTATCCCATTAGTTCTAATCACATCCTTGTCGATAAGTGCGCGCTCATCAATAAAACTGGTACGAAGAAATGGTTTGATAAATCTGTACACGGCAGAGGAAAAGGTAAGACATGGTCAGAGTCAGTCTGTGGACGTCTTATCATGATAATTACATATAGAATCTATGTATTTCTGGAGCTAAATTTTAAAACCGCTATGAAATAATATAAAGACAAATTAGGTGCGAGAAAGCACGACAGCACCTGAAGATGTCTCGTCTAAAAATACGTCTCCGAGAGATCAGAGGATTGTCTAAATGGTAATGCAGCTCAACTCTTTCATAGTCACACTTACGTTTTCCTCCATAATGGAGTCGATTAACTCTTCTGTTAATATCTTTGTCTATTTGAAGATGGGTTCGCGTTATAAGCAGGGTTTTTTTTAATCAGTTATTCAGAAGGGTTGGGGCTGAGCAAGGTAAATGTGCAGCGACTACTAATTTTCATAAATAAATCATTGAAAATGCCTTTGTTAAACCACATCAAGTAATAAAGCTATAATATTGTATTTAACGTACCCTTGCAAATCATTGTAGATACATGAATTAATCGGTTAACGATACAAATACCCATACCCCAAAATTAGCAATAGCAGAAGAAGCAGTAGTAACTGCAGCAGTAGCAGCAGCAGTAGCAGCAGGAGCAACAGCAGCAGCAAGAGCAGTAATAGTAGTAGTAGTAGTAGTAGTAGCAGTAGTAGTAGTAGTAGTAGTAGTAGTAGTAG